GTACAAATGCAAACTCTGCACATTAGCTGCATACCATAAGCACTACAAGGTTCAGACAGCATCATGGTATTTCACCATCATTTCCAAGTACAGGAACTAAATTGTCATAACCGCACGACAGGGACATCATGACCCAGTCCTCTCTTGCATGCCTCATGTACTGCACGTAAAGAAGTATCTATGTTCCTTGAGAGAGCCCAAGGACAATTTTATCCCTCGTCTCCCATCAAATACTGACCTTGTGTGATACTGGCTGGAGTGCACTGTACACAGGGGACGTTCCCCTACCAGAAGTCTCAATGCTATGGCAGGGAAGTGGGGGAAGAGGAGGGACATGGAAGAGGAGGGAAATGGATCCCCGAGGGAAATGGATAATCTGGAGGATGAAGTGGTGACCAAGATAGGATGTATGATGGAGGACAAGTTTATGGCCTCTGATTCTGCCTGGGTTTGCCATGGGAAAAGGGGTAACTATCTTACACAGGCTGTTTAGTCTTCAACTTATCTGTAGCATATTAGCTCCGTTTTTTGATTCCTCTGAGTTTGCTCCTTATCAACAAGGCTTTCAGCTCATTCCTCAGCTCTTTCTAAAATGTTGCAGATGGGCTTCAAATCAGATCAGAGACCATCCCTGTCATTTTTAGATGTTCCATGTTGTGCCACAGCTTCAAACTAGGCATGAAAAACTTCACATTTGTATCTAAAATACTCTGTTCAGTAAAGTGGAGGTTATAAGCTCTAATACACTAAAACAAATGAAACGAAGGCCACAGTCATCTCTGTGTCTACTAGCTGGGAATGTCACAAATCAGAAGACCAGATCTGCCACCTCAATGACTATTAATTCCCTTTAACTCTCTCCTTTGCTGATTTGCTCAGAGCCTGAATCTCAGAGGACAGAGTCGAAACTGTGCTGTAAGCAGATCTCATCCTGATGTCTGCTATCTAAAGACTGGTCTGAGCTCTGAAGCCTGAGGTTTGGCATCCCTTTTGGGTCTTAATTCTAACTAGAAAGATATAAAAGACATCCAATTTTGAAAAGTTCTGACTTTTCCTCACTGATTCTTTCCCAAAGAGGGAAGAAATCATACAAACTGATGACAAGCTGATTGAAGAAAGGGTTAACACTAGCAGCAATCTGGAAGAGGAAAATCAGTGGAGAGGCCTAGCTTGTTATCTTGAGCAGATAACTTCAAAGCAGCTGCAGCAGTGACTGATGATGAAGTAACGATGATAAAAAACATGCTATGTCATGGGCTTTCTCACTGCAGCAACCTGGAGCCACAAGTCACCAGACAAGGCACTTTTGACAGTTTCCACACACATCTATAGCAGCCATTGAAAGAAGTAAACAGCCCCTAATGCCAGTCAGCTAGAAAGAACATTTCCTTTACCTTCCTGACCCCCTGCAGCAATTTTTATTTTGCTCAAAAGGGGAAAAAAATGCAGGTGTACTTTTTTAGCATCTCAAAATTTTATTTGTCCTGGTTGTCACTTAGTATGTTAGTGTGCTATGCTTTGCTGGGCTTAATATAACCAGTTAATTTTCCTCTGACTGGAAAACAGTAGCAAGTCAATGCTTTGCCATTAGCTTATCTGAGGGGGAGGGAAGATAATGATTCAGAAAAAAAAGAAGCAGGGCATGCTGGCAAAATGGGGAATACTTAGTCTTCTTTCCGAGAGCTTCTTTCCCGAGCCGAGCCTTGTCTGAAGATGCCTCCCTCCATTTGCACATCTGTTCCTTCTTTGAATCAAACTACAGGCAACAGCAACAAGGCAGCTAAGAATAAACTCTCCAGCTGAACTCTAGGAAAGCAGTTTGGTCAAAGCTCTGCATGCCAAATGCTGACCAACAAATGTTCCCAGCTGCCAGCAGTGACTCACCGCAAGCCATGTTTTTTCATGGACCAGTTGTGCTGTAGCTGTCTCCCTCTTGGAGGACGTTATGATCTAAACAAGGCCTCCCCCTTCCAAAAGCTGGAGTAAAAGGCACTTGAGGCAGGGTACTCTAACCACATCTCATGTGGAAGGCACACACAAGGACTGGTCCTATCACACTGTGCTATCAGAACAGCTCTTGCATGACAGAAGCAAAAAAAATAACTGCAGCTGCTACTGCTGCCCTTTCCAGCAGGCTATACACCAAAAGCACTGAGATTTCAACAGCACCAGGCCAGCATATAGGGTAGGACATCTTTCAAAATGCAAAAATGTGGAATTTATATAGCACTGCTCAGTTTTTACCATGTGCTTTCCCCCATATTACCTTCCATTATGACCGAAGACACAGCATAAAGAGGACATATGTGTTGGGGCAAGAGGCCTCCTACTCTTCAGGCAGGAGCTTGAACTGCTCGGTTGTACCTCAGCCCCAGTAACAACTTGTGGTGCCCCACTAGAAATGCCAACTTGGCATTTCCAGTCAGTGAATTTGGGCTTTTTAAAGGATGTGTATATCATCTTGCTTAATGGAGGAGCCTACTGCCAGATGAAGTAGCCAACATAGCCCACACTGCTTAAGCTTATAGTTGCCCACTCCCTTGAGGTGTTACTCAGAAGCTGCCTGGAAAAGTAGTGATGACGGTGCAAATGGGCGCACACGAAGTCCATTTTCCTGAAATAATCCTTGAGAGGCCACAAAAGCATACATACTTGTAGGCATACAGAAGAAATGCTGATGGCAAGGAGGTACTGAAACAAGGTCAGCATAGTTCTTCCCAGTGCTGCCCCACTATGTTGAGAAAGACAAGGAAGGGCTACGACAGGAAGTTTGCTCTCCAAAAATAACATGAACAAAGAAGGCTTCTTGGAACAGGATACTGAAGAATTACAAAATCCTGACTAGTGTGAATGCTGTGACCCCATGGTACCATTTATCCTATATACACAGCTCTCCTAACCCAAGAAATGGCTTGGGATGATTTGGAGTATAACTCTCAAGCACTCCAGAAATAAGGAGAACCTCCCTAAACACTGCAATTTTGTTTTTATGAAGAAGTGATTACAGTTATTTCCTAAAAGTGGAACTAACTTCTGCTACTTTGTGGTGTTTGGGAGTGAACAAGGACACAGGGAAATCTCCTTCTCCTGCCTCCACCATACCGCTCACCCTCTTCTGCCTCCTTTACCCCCACTGCAATGGCACACTATTTCTGGAAATGTGCAGATCAATTTTAGGTTTTGAGGAGAAGATATGGCTCATGTTGGTAGCACTACAGTTTCTGGGACAAAGTAGAAAGAAAGTAAGGAAAGTGAGTGAACATGAAAGTATCCTGTTATGCCACAATAGCGCATTTAGAAGGAATACCCACTTCTTACCAAAACCTTTTATGGTTCACTGCAAGCACATGCTGATGAGAGGTGGATAGATAGTGGACAACATGGAGGGAAGTTATTTTTATAGGTGCTAATGAATCCTAATATTTTTTATTCTCCACAGCTGGAGGTGACAAAAATGAACAGTTAACATTTCTTCCCATTTCTCATGATTTTTTTTTCTTGCTATTCTAGGGCCTCATCCAGAAAAAAAAAAAAAAGAAAAGAAAAGAAAAAAAGACGTGCAGCCTTGTGGCAGGACTTTCCAAGCCACAGATGCTGGCTCTGTGGTTGGTTGACCTATCCAAAATAAAGCTCAACAGCAGGGAGCGGTGGAGTAGTTCAGGGAGTAGAGGGGGTCATGCGAATGCGATCCCCACCTCCCGAACACCGCATCTCCTTCTGCTACAAACATTCCTGCCCCCCTGCTTCTTTCGGGGTGGGGGGAACTTTTTTTTTTTTTTTTTTTTAATCCAGCCTCCCTTTCCTATCAGCTTGCCAAAAGGGGTTGTTAAAAGTGATTCTTGTTCCAGCCTCCTTCCCTGGAATGAAGAACATGGTGAACTTTTATCCCAGTGATCGACAGTGGATAAGGCAGCTAGCATGATGTGCTCCCCAGAAGTCCCTCTCCTGTTTCTGGCTGCGGGTGCTTTCTCTACTCGAAGACAGGGTCGTCACCACAAGAGCTTGAAGCCCAACACATTACCTTACTGGTGGCTAGATGGAAAAGAGCCAGCTGGTCTCCAGCTGCAGCCTGCTGACATTGAGATACTTCCCCGAGAACCACAGAGCCTGAAAAACTTCTGAGCCCTATTCAGAAACACAGTGACTTCTTCACACTTGATGGCCATTTTTATGAACAAATATTTAAAAAAAAAAGTAAAGAAGGTGACTGACATCATTTCAATAAAACTATTTAGTAGAATTGTTAGTTTAAGCACTTGTTTATAAAATGTAATACTGTACTGTACAAAGTCAAATCTTTGAATATTTTCAGTGGTAACATAAACAAAAGTTTGCACACTTCTACAGAGGAGCAATGAAGAACCTAATCAGTTCTGGAACTCCATACAGGAGAGTTTAATCAGTTTTCGAGTACCACTACATCCCAGGTCAGGAACAGATCAAGCAGTGGTAAGAGATTCTTGTTAACAGGATTGGCTTCTGGCATGTAAATACATTCACACCAAATATTTTTCTTTTTTGTGTTTTTTTTTCTTTTTTTTTTTTTAGGGTAGTGCATGGAATGGCTCTCAACTAAGTTGTGAACATAACTTCCATGAGCCTGTGGGAAATCCCATGCTTCCATTCTAAAAATAGCTGCTAACTGTGCTGAACATCAGTCTGAAGGTCCAAGGAAAGCCTACCTGGTAGAAGACATTTATCAGATACAATCTCTTTATTTACAGCCAGCAGATCCATTTCTGTTGTAATGTGGACTTCATTTCCGTAACACTATTTCTAAGCATATCTCCTTTCGTATCTGTTCAGAGTTATTTATGAAGTGTGTTTACCAAGAAACTAAAATAAGCGTGAAAACAGCTTTCTTTGGGCATATATCAGACTGAAGTGGAAGTCCACTTCTATAGACTATAGGTACACTTCTATGGGAGGTTTTAAAAGCAACTGTTTCACTTTGTTTGAGGACTGAGAAACAGCAGTCTGAAAGATCTGCTGCCACTTACCAAACCTCTTGTAGCCAAAAGACTGCACCTCCTCCTCTTCTGCAAAATCGTCTGGAAGGAAAGACACAGCAAGAGGTTACTTCTTCCATTGGACAAGACAGAAAGACCTTTTCTATGGTTGCGCTACAACAAGTGCACTACAATGCACTTCAAAGTGTCATTGATTTACAAGGCATTTTATCCATCGCTGAATTTTCTTCCCCTCCACTGTTCACGTTGCTCCTCTGTCGCCATGTGGGCAACAGTTTGGAGCCTTTCGCTCCCCTGGTATCTCCAGCAGAAGTCTGGACTCTGGAGGTGATTCTGGTCCTGGGTTGGTGTGTAAGCACAGGCTGGAGCAGACCAGTCCCTCATGGAGAGGACACCCACAGCGGGCCACTGGCTGCTCAGGACAAGGTGCTTGCTCACAGCAGCTGCTGGAGCTGCCTGCGCCATCAGGCTCTGTCTCGGCGTGTATTAGCCCAGGCATCCTCACAAAGCAGTACTTCTGCTCAGCTTTGCAATGTGTAGCTATGCCAAATAACAACGGAGAAAAGTCAGAAGTTATGATCATCCATCTACTACCTCCTGCATGCAATAGTAATATTTGATGGTAGAGGAGACAAAACCTAATAAAAGATGGGAAACCTCCAAAGGTTGCCAGAAAACAAACAAAAAAAAAGCCCTTTTATTCTAATTTTCTTAGCAGTAAAATGCTAATAATCACAAATTTATCTTGTTAGAAGCTTAATTCTCTCTGCTTCCTTCTAGCAGCAGTAACACCGCAAAGAAGGCTGGGACAAGCACAATATATGTACCCACAACTTCTTTTTTAGAAAAGACCTTAGAAAAAAAGAGTAAGTGTGCATTTGTGTGGTCAGTCTCTCTCTAACAACCAAGCCCTTTTTTTTTTTTTTTTCTGAAGCAAGAGAGGAAGACAAGAGCCCAGACCCAGCTTTTGTATCATGCAACTGAGTTTTTAGCAGAGAGCTCAGATCAGTCTTCTTTATCTCCTGTCTTCCCAGTTTCTAAAGGGAAGGAAAGTAGATTCATTTCCCCTCCCACAAGCACCATTTTGCATCGTGGAGCATCCTATGCTGGCTCTCTTAAAACAAGCTTTAGGACATTTATTCCCAAGTGGTGGTCAGCGTGGCCATGGTGAGTAGACCAAGCTACCCTGCGCTGGGGCTACCACCTTTGCAGCATTCCTTACCAAAAGTCTACAGGCAAGCCTGCCTCCCAAGCTGATAAAAAATGTTGCAAAAAGAAAAAAAAATCCCTGCTCTCCAAAATCTGCTGGCCTGGCTTTGTTTGCATTGCAGCAGAGCCTTATCACCTCCCTCTTTGGGGAAGGCATACTCAGCACCGCATGAGGCATGGCCACGCTACGCCAGGCAGCTGCAGCCGCCGCTCGCCCTCCAAGGCCCTCATGCCACTCGTCCAGCACGTGATGCCCAGGAAGCTAGTTCCCTTGGAAACTCTCCATCCGGACTTTTTGCCCGCACCAGGGGAGAAGTAAACAGAAGCATAAAGGCCAGGCCAGGCCAGGACTTTGCAGGAAGGAACATTTAACGAGCAGTAATGAAAAAACAGGCTCAAAACAGACAAACATTCACAGCAGCGGGAGAGATCTGCGCTGGGTGAGTCCTTTGCAGTCTATGGTTTTATTGCTGATGAAGAGGCTGGTCTGCATCACCAGAGACTGCAGTCAATGCAGGGCATTGCAAAGGTCTGGGAGGATATATCTAAAGGTGAAGTCCTCCCAAAAAGCATATAAAGGTAAATATCCAGTGCTTGTAGACTTGACAAAGCTTAAGTGTATATCTAGGAAAAAATATAGCCCAACTCTCTTTCAAACCTGCAAAGTGCCACACATTGAAGCCTGAGGAAAATATTGCTGGATGCACTGAAGTTCACACTTATCATTTTGTAGAATTTGACCTTTTACTCACATAGCACTTCTGATAAAGCCGCTCAAAACCTTTCACCCATACTCCTAAGTGGCTAGTACAGCTTTTCCTCACTGCCAGAGACACTGCTGTCCATATGTTAAGCTAGAGTCCCATTCAGACAAGTGTTTAAGAAATGCAGGAACCAGTTGATAATTCCTTGGGCAAAACAAACTCATTGTGATTTTGAAGGCAGCAAGAATCCTTTAAAAATAAAACCCTTGCAATTCTACCAAACGTATCCAAACATAAGGTCACCCGACAAAACATGACAAGTACTAATCAACCAAATGACCATGAACAACCAAACTTCTCATCTCAACAGTGAAGCATGAAGGAAAAATATTCCCCTCTTGCAGAAAAGATGCATAAGGGGAGACCAGTTCTATTTAGCCGTGGCTAAATCCTATTGCTGCATCCAACAGTCCTGTTCCCAGGCCCATGCTGTCAAACTCTTCTCTGCTCTCCCTGCTCATCTTTCACACTGAGCACTTCTGCTTCCTCCCTGCCCACAGCCTTGGGCAATCAAAGCCATTCAAAACCCTCAAAGCCATCTCAGCTTTGAGGGGCGTTAGCTGAAAGCTCTGCTCTATTCCTGTGGATGCTGGACGGGATAAATTACTTGTTTAGTTCTTTGTGCTTTGCCCAACAGCATTGCCCTCTGGCAGTGTATTCACACACGTATTCATGTTCCTCAACACTGTGTGCTCTGCTAACTAGGGATGACTTGGTTGTTTGTTTTCTTTTTTTTTCTATTTTCCTCCTCTTTAGGTTTTAATATTTAATATTTTTTCATTAAATCTCCTGATTTGGAAGAATACAAGTAGCATTTGAAAGAAAGAAGCAGAGATGGGCAAGGACTGCCTCATCAACAGGTAACCTTGCTTTTTGACTATTAAAATATAAAACAGCAGGTAAAACTTTTTTAATACATGTGAGTTGGTCTAGCAAGAGGCAGGAATTCATTTTAGGGGAAGTCTATTAAAATGACCTAGTGAACTAAGTTCAGTGATGTTTTATCACAATTCCTAACTACGCAGTTTGGTCAAAGCACATGCAAATGTAATAAATAAACTTTACTAATATTAACTGTGATGCAATAAGTTTAAGGAAATTAAAGAAGAGAAGAAAAAAAATCAATAAAACAAAAGAACAGACTAAATTTTCAGAAATGTACAGCTTGGCATCCTTTGAGAAGAGGAACAGGATGGGTTGAAACTTCTACCAGGTTATTCCAAATAAATCTGTGTTTGAAATACTAAAAATCATGTTGATAAGCAAGTCAATAAATTTAAGTCTTGAGATAAAGTCATTTGTCTCAAATGCCTCTCCTCTCATTCCCTTTGGGATGGGATTGTACTCCTTGCAGAAGCCAAAAACTTGGCCTTTGGTTCTCTGGTACAAGTTCAAGTTTTGTCACAAGTTTTAGAAAAATAGTGCTATTTCTCAAAACTTCATGATATCTTTGAATTGAAGAAATACAGGAGAACCTAAATTTTAATTTAAAAGTGACTATGTAGCCTTTGTAGAGGAAACGATAAAATATAATCTGTGATGGGTTACAGAGGTTAAAAAAATACATGCCAACCAGTGGAGGAAATTGGAAGAAAACCTCCAGGATGTATTATGTGTTTATGCCCTCTGATTTTAAGGTCAATTTCAGAAATCAGAATGAAACAAATTCATGAGTTTTGACCACCTGCGGTTCTTATTATTGCGGCTTTGCTTTTTTACATCAGCAGTGCCCATTCACTTGAGAGGGGCTGCAACTGGTATAAGAGAGTTTTGTTTGACATAGTGAAAGACATGTTTAAAATGTTTTACTTTAGTTTAAATTCGAGTCTTCTCATTTTCAAAGACGACCAGAATGAATGCAATATTTCCATTACACACACATACATATTTATATGTAAGGATTATTTTCCTGGATGAAAAACATAAAGGGCATACTTTTCCTTGATGGAGATAATGCTGAAATGTCCCAGCCGCAAGAATTAACTCTTTAGTATAGGAAAGACCGAACATTATTCATTTTATAAGCTTGGAGTTCAGGATATCACAGTCTTAGGGACAGTTGGAAGCATCACTCAGGGCACATATCCTACCACACAGCAGCTCCCTCACTGTATGAAATGGTGAGAGTCGCTAAAAGGAATGAGAAAAAAACCCTCTCCCCTCCCACACATGCAAGCAACACATCAGAAAACTTCACATGGGGCAGGTTAAAAGCATGTTTCACTACCCAGGAAGCCTCCTTCCACAGAATCACAGAATGGCTGAGGTTGGAAGGGACCTTTAGGGAATCATCTAGTCCAACTCCTCTGCTCAAGAGGAATTATCTAGTCCAACTCCTCTGCTCAAGCAGGGTCACCTAGAACACGTTGCACATAATCATGTCCAGGTGTGCTTTGAATTTTTCCAAAGAGGGAGACTCCACATCCCCTCTGGGCAGCCTGTTCTAGTGCTCGGTCACCCTCACAGTCAAGAATTTTTTTCCCTCATGTTCAGATGGATTTTCTTGTGCTTCAGTTTGTGCCTATTGGCACCCTATTGCTGGGTGCCATTGAAAAACTGTGTCCATCCTCTTGACACCCTCCCTTAGGCTGGCTCTATCCTCTGGACACCCTTCCTTACGGTATTTATCACACTCACAAGATCCCCTGTCAATCTGCTCTTCTCCAGGCTAAACAGGCCAGCTGTCTCAGAGTTTCATCATAGGGCAGATGCTCCAGTCCCCTAATCATCTTTGTAGCCCTATGGGGGACTCTCTCCAGTAGCTCCATGTCTCTCTTGTACTGGGGAGACCAGCACAGGACACAGTACTCTAGATGTGGCCTCACCAGTACTGAGAAAAGGGGAGGATTCCCTCCCTTGACCTGCCAGCAACACTCTTACTAATGCACCCCAAGACACCACTGGCCTTCTTGGCCACAAGGGGCCATTGCTGGTTTCCCTTCTTGTCATCTGCCAGGCCTCCTGGGCCCTTCTCTCCAAAATTACTCTCCATCAGGTCAACCCCCAACCTGTACAAGTTCATGGGATTACTCCTCCCTAGGCTGCCTTCCAGGTTGCCAGGCAGGACATGGGAGCAAGTGGTAAGAGGTTGGCTGTGGTTTCAGCCCCCATG